TGGTGGTTTGCTGCCTTCCCAAAATGATGGCTCTGGAGGCAGCTTTGATGAATCCTGCCCAGCTCTGTGCTTGTTTTGATAGAAGCTCAGGCATTTCGCAAGCCAAGAGGTGCTCATGAGGATGTTTTGCTAATGGGGTGAGGACATCTCTGGTGATCTTTGGGCAGGATCCTCATGTGAATGCCCAAATGGGTGTAGATGACGTGCTAATTCAGGCAGGATGTGTCCTGCCCTCCTGGCAGGTCACTGCCACAAATCTGCTCTCCTCCCACCCACTCCTTCCTGCCAGGAGCTAAAGGGCTGAGGCAATGCACAGCTCCCACCTGGGGAACCAGCAGTGTGCAATAACTGAGGCAGAGCCAGAGGTGACAAGGAGGTGCCAAAGTGCTGGAAGTGGCAGGCACCCAACAAGGAAAGGACAGGCCTGTTGCAAGGGAAGCAGAAGGTGAAGACCTCAGCGTGTTCATCTTTCTGCTATAGCGGAGAGATATTGGCACAGGCTGCCCAGGGAGGTGGCAGTCATCATCCTTGGAGGTGTGTGAGAAAAGGGTAGATGTGGCACTGAGGGACGTGGTTTAGTTGGCATGGCAAATGGGTTGATAGTTGGACTTGATGATCTTGTTGTATTTTTCCAACCTTAATGATTTGATGACACCACGATCCCAAGTTAAAGCATCCCAGCTGAGCAGTGTGTGCTCCTGGGAAGATGAGGACTGTGGGAAGAGCCCTGTCTGGAGCAATCTCTACTGAACATCTCGGTTTCTCCCATGAGCACAGTGTGGGTTGTGCAAGTGAAGCCAGGAAGGACTGGCTTGCAGGACAGTGGGTAGGAACACAGCTCTCCCATGGAGCTGAGCTGTGCCCAGGTTTTGTAGTATGACTGGAATGCACAGCGAGTAGGCTGGGGAGAGATTAAGGTGCTTTGGGCTTGGCTTAGGGCTCAAGTCCAGAGGCATCTTTCAAAACAGGAGAAGAGAGGGGTTCAGCCCCACAGAGCACCCTGCAAGGTGTCAGCTCAGCTTCTGAATGTCCTCTGTACCTCTGGGCAGGCACCAGATCTGGGGCCACAAGCACACAGTGGTTACCTCATTGCATGCCCCCCTGGGCTGGCTTTCCCATCACAACTCCCAGGGACAGCGCTTTGGTCTGCACATCTGCCCCACAACACCCCACCCTTCCTGCCCTATATCACACACCCTCTCATTACCTCCCACAGCACCCCAGCCCAATCCTTACCGCACCCTCCTTCCTCCCTCTGCTGCATCCCACCCCAAAGATGCACCCCAGGCATCATCTCGCATCTCATCCACTGCATCCTTCCCTCTCCCCCTTTGCAGAGAGATGCGAAAATGCTGGGAATGCATGCTGGCATTGCAGAAATCGCTGTGCTCCCCCTCCCCCCAGGATCAGGGTGCCTGATGTAGCAGGCTGCAGGGCTGAGCCCCGCTCCAGGCTGCTCCAGGAGCAGCACTGCAGCTGACAGCCCGGCCGAGCGGGCAGAGCGGTGCCAGGAATATCAATCAGTGTGCCTTGGCCAGAGCCAGCGCTTTCATTGCGCCGGGACTTGCAGGAGCTGCTGAGCTGTAGGGATGTGGGCTCAGCATCCATCAGGATTTGGGAAGAGAAAGATATGGGAGAGGGGGAGGAAACTGCCTGAGTAGGGCAGGAGGAAGGGAGCAGTCAGGAGAGAGGGATGGAGGGGGGCAGATGTTATAGTGGAAGACTGGAGGTGAAAGGCAAAGGGAAAAGGGGGCAGTGGGCCAGTGGCTGGCTCAGCAGGATAGGGAGGAGGAATGGGCAGGAGTGGGGGCTTGGGGCTGCAAGGCCAGCATGTTGTGGGGAGAGCGTAGTGCACAGGTATGAAGGAAGAGAGTTCTGTGCAAGCCACCAAGAGAGCAAAGGATGATGTCCCCAAATCCAATGGGGACAGCGGCTGCCAAGCAGGAGAGATTTGATGCTCTCCTCAGGAGGGTGGGGACAAGAAGCACCATGCCTACCTGTCAGACACTCCAAAACACTCCAATCACCACAACGCTTACACCCTACTGTCAACTTGCTATGCAGTGCAATCTGCATACAGCCCCGTGCCACCTCCTCTTGGGATAACACAGTACCCGTCCACATGCCACCTCCTTCTACATGGTTGCCACCCCTGTGCCACCTCCTCCTCGGACACTGTAGTATCCGACCCCATGCCAACTCTCCTAGGACAACACGGCACCAATCTCCACATCATCTCCTCCTGCAGGAGACGTAGCTCATCCCGTCACCATGCAGCCTCCACTGGAGGGTGCAGACAGGGAGCATCCCACTTCTCGCCCTCCTTGGCACTCCCCATGCACACTCAGGGCCCTGCACTACATCCTCAGGCACACTGAATCTGCATCAGTTCAAAACGAGCCAGAGATCAGGAGCTGATTTGCATTTTGGGAACTGCTCCCAGCACAGCTTCTATCCATAGCAGGGGAAAACAGGGCAGGTCCCCCCTGAACCCTCCGCTCCATCTGCAGCTCAGCGCTGGATCCATTTATCAGCTCATTCCACGTGAGCGACCTTGACAAAATCCAATGACCCGGGACGGCAGGAGACTTTCCCAGACATCTGCCAACACCTAAACCTGCAATTTATGGAGACTTACAACTAAATTCTACCACAAGACAATTTCATTTCTGTCCATTACAGCTACAATATTCCTCTTATTCCCCCCCACCTGCAGAGAGTAATTAATGCTGCGCTGCACTGCCTCGCCTGTAGGCAGGTGCAGGTGCCTCTGCTGAGCTCGCAGCAGTGTGCCCAAGCCAACATCACTCCAGCTGGCTTTGTGAGCAACAGGGGGCCGTAGTGACCTGGGTAGCTTTGGGTTTGTGCAGCCAGGAGAGGAGAAAGGAGGGAAAAAAGTAGAAGAAATGCCCCAGCTGATGGGGGCTGGGAGGAAGGTAGAAGAAAATACTTCAGCACCTGAATGTGGTTGCGTTCTGGCTGAGGGTTCATCAAAGAGCTGCTGAGGGCAAGGAGGGAAGGGAAAGTGCTTTCGGATGGTTCCCGAAGGGCTGTGAGGAGAAGCCACATCTCCAGCCTAGCTGGCCCATCCCTGCAGGGCTGCTGCTGGAGGTGGGTGCCTGTGTCTCTTTTCCTCTTCTGCAGCCACCGCACTTCCCGCAGGGCACAGCCGTGCCTGCCCAGGAGGCCCAGACGCTTCCCGGCCGGTTGAAGATAAAACCTGACGCTGTTAGCAAAATAAACAGGGAGGCTGGAAGAGCCAAGGCTGGCACCAGGCTCAAACCACGGAAGCCAGAAGCACTGGTTTCCCCGGCTGATCTAATCTTTCCCAGCGCCAGACCTCCTCTCCCCAGCGGGCTGGTGGGGCTGGTTGGAGCCCCTGGGGAAAAGGTGAAGCCAGTGCCTCCTTGCACCCCAAGTTGAACCAACAACTTTGAGAAGGAGGTAGAAGAGCCAGAGAAGGGGGACTGCGATCTTTTTGGGGAGCACGGCAACCTTGCTCCATTGCAAGCCTGTTTGGGAGGACATTTCCTCCACAGTGCTGATGCTTGTCGCGTGGTGGGGCGGGAGCGCCTTGCTTTGGGTGCCCCCCCCAGCGCTGCTGACGCACCCAGGCTCCATCTGCACCCGCTTCCTCATTGCAGCACTGCCACTGCGGCAGGATTTGGGTCATGCTACCAAGGCAGGGCTCTGCTCCTCCGCCTGCTGGCCTGGAGAGGCGGAGGTCTTATGTGGACATGGGGATGGATAGGATGAAGGAGAAGGCATGGTACAGGGATACTGGGGTGTATGTGTGGTGAACCGTGTCCTGGAGGAAAGGCTCCTTGGAAGGCTGGAGATGGGAGAAGTCATGCAGGGAGTCAGCGCCCTGGGACCTCTGGGTTGGCTACTGGGGGATGGGGGAAGGTTATGGAGGGGCTGGCCCATGAGAACATTGTTTCTGGGCAGCAGGGACGTGGGAAGCCTGCCTGGGAAATGGCCGGGAGCCAGAGCAGCTTCAAGGGCAGCACGGAAAATAAGGCACAAGCGGTCAAAAATAGAAAACTTTATTGAAGTCAAATCCAACAAGGCAACAGAGCTCAGCCCTACGGCAGGAGCCCAGCCTGCCGCTTGGGGCTCTCCATGGGGCACTGGGGTACAGCACGGCGCGAGATGGACCGAGTGGTCCTCACCCATGGGCCAGGAACAGATGAAGCCACCCGTCCCCTCTCTCCCTCCCTAGTAGCTAAGGACAGAGCTGAGAACAGAGCTAAGGGCAGACCCGACAGGTGCCAAAGCAGAGATGAGGTGCAAGCCAACTGATCAGACAGCGCGAGGAGAGAAGGTTCCACAAGCTCCGGACCCCTGCGGTCCTCCCACAACCTCCAAGCACACCAGCCAGCAGCCTGGTCCTGCCCACACCCTGCCCCACGTGCAGCACAAGTCCCGGCCAGACGCAGAGCAGTGACCTAACCGCAGCACACAGCAGAGACCCCGCATCCCACAACTCTGACCTCCCAGCCCCATGCCACCAGTGAGGAGCCCCATGTGAGGAAAGCTGCTGGGTCCCGATGCTTTCACTGTGCCAGTGATGGCAGAAGGCCCAAGCCCTGAGGAAGGCAGAACCCAAGCCTGGGAAAAAGGCAGTGCTTTGCTCCCCTGCCCAACCCCACCTGCCCAGCCAGCGCAGCAGGTGCTGTGCTCCAGCTTTTGGGATGCTCTGCACAGGGAGCTGGACACAGCTCTGTGCTCACATTGCCCCAGTGACCGTCAGTCCCCAGAGAATACCCAGCTGGGTGGTGTCCCTCCGGCGCTCCCCATGCAGAGGCACAGGCGTGCAGCAGCCTGTGTGTCACCACCACCCAGGTCCCAGCCCCGGGCGCTGTGACAAGGACTGCAATGCTCTTCTGTCCCTGTCCCTTCCCCGCCCCGCAGTCCAGGCTCACTCCCACACCTCGGTCCAGATGGGTCCCCGGTGCAGCGGGGGGGGCCGCTGCCGGCCTCAGGATGAGCTCTCCTACCTGCTTGTTGGTGTATTTCTGGGGATTGGTGCGGTAGCTGTAGTCCGAGTACTGCTCGGAGCCCGTTGAGTTGTTGTCCCCGGTGCCAACAAAGGTGTTGGTGGCCGGCAGGTCCTGCACCACTTGGTGCTTCTTGGAGGCGGAGGGAGACTGGGGCTGCAGCTGGATGGAGGGCAGGGGTGAGTTGGAGCGGTAGTGTCGGCCCAGGTCTGGGCTGCCCGGAGGGTAGTTGAGGGGCAGGTGGATGCGGGGGCTGTCACTGACAGAGTCATTCATCAGGTTGAACTTGAGGGATTTCTGCAGCCCTGTCTCCTCCTCGTCCTCTGTTGGCTTGGGTGGCTTCGGAGACTTGCTCTTCTTCACCTTGTTCTTGCTCTTGCCACTCTTGCTGGCCTGCTTGGGCGCATACAGGTCTTTGGTCTCCTTCTTGCCTGCCTGGTAGCCACTCTTGGCCTCCCGCTGTCGGCAGTAACGCACCAGGACAACCAGCACGATGACCAAGGTGACAGCCACAATGCCAGCAATGACTCCAAAGAGGATGTTGCTTCTCTGCTTGCTGCGCTCATACTCGGGATCCCCGGCGATGTCTATGTCAAGTGGTGTGTCCAGGCTGTGCCCCACCAGTGTGTCCAGCAGTGTGCGATTGGCCAAAGTCTCGTTGACATAGAAGTGCACCAGGGCCGTGCCGTGCCGTGACGGCTTGCCCTTGTCGTTGACACGCACAACCAAGCGGTGCAGGCCATGGTGCTTGCGCAGGATCTCCTTTTCCAGTGTGATGTCTCCACTTTGGGGGGAGATCTGGAAGAGCTCGAAGGGGTTGCCTCCTGTGATGCTGTAGGTCAGCTCGGCATTGACGCCGGTGTCGATGTCCTCTGCCTTGACCTTGCTCACCTGCTGGCCTGGGCTCGTGTGGGGCAGAATGTGCTTGTAGGTGGCATTGGAGGGCGAAGTGATGAAGGGAGCATTGTCATTCTCATCCAAGACATTGATGGTCACCCCTACGTAGGCAGACCTGGGGGGATCCCCACCGTCCACAGCCTTGAGCCGGAAAGTGTACGTACTTTGCTGCTCCCGGTCAAAAGAGATGCTGGAGAGAATGGTGCCAGTGCCATTCTGGATGACAAAATCCCCATTGTCTTGCTCTACCGACAGCTGGATTCGGGCATTTTCTCCTTTGTCAGCATCGATCACCGTCACCATGCCCACGGGGCTGAGGGGTGGCATGTTCTCCATCACCGAGAAGTTGTAGCCACTCAGCATGAACTTGGGGTCGTTGTCATTCCTATCCATGACGTTGATGGCCACCGACGCTGTGCCCTTCAGGCTGGGGCTGCCCTTGTCTGCCGCCACCACCAAGAACTCGTAGCGCTCCCGCTGCTCACGATCCAGCACCGCTTTCACCCGAATCTCTCCAGAGTCAGGATCAATGGTGAAGGAGTCCTTGGAGGACGGGTCGGTCACCAGCGAGTAAACCAGCTTGGCATTGGAGCCGCTGTCTGCATCACTGGCACTCACCTCCATCACTAGGTCATTGGGCTCGTTGTTCTCAGGGAAGGCCACCTCGGTGAAGCTCTGGCTGAAGACGGGCGCATTGTCATTCACATCTACTACCTGCACCTTCAGCGAATTGGTGCTGGAAAGGGGCGGGTTCCCCGAGTCCACTGCCACAATCTCGATTGTGTAGTCCTTCACCGACTCATAGTCCAGAGGTGTGGTAGTCTGCAGGAAGTATTTCTTCTTGCTGTCGCTCCCTGTTTCGCTAGCCTGCCGCAGCTGGAAGGGGACATCCCCAGCCACCACACAGGTCACCACAGCATTCTCGCCCTCATCTCGATCGGACACCTGTACCAGAGCCACTGCTGTCTCTACTGGTACGTCCTCCGAGATATTTGCCATGCCATCCTGGTGGGTGACCAACCCAATGCCCCGAATTTCTATCGAGGGCGCGTTGTCATTCATGTCCTTGATGGTGACCACTACCTGCGTGCGGGCACTCTTGGGGTTAGCCCCCTTGTCCTTGGCCATGACAGAGAACTTGAGGGTGCTGACGTCCTCACGGTCGATGGGCCCCTGGACAGTGATGAGCCCTGTGTTGCGGTCCAGGCGCAGCAGCCGGCGCACCACATCCGATGCTTGGTGGAAGGAGTAGTCAATCTCGGCATTGGCACCCTGGTCCGAGTCATTGGCCTTCACCTGCAGAACAGAGGGAGGGGACGGTGAATGAGAGGCCAGAGTGGGGGGAAAAGGGTGGATTTCCTCTTCTGAGGCTAAGACCTACGGGGCACCCTGAGACCGGCAGTGCGGTTGGGAGTGGCTCAGTAACAGAGGCCTTCCCTCACTCTTCCAGAGAAACCGGCTGTGCCGGTTGAGCTGAGTTCCCCTCCCGACTGGCTCCAGCATGCAGAGAATCCACTGGGAAGCAGCACTGCCAGAGCCAGGCAGCAGTGGGGAGGGACAGCCCCTGCTGCACTGAGCCATCCCTTCCCACTGCCTGCAGCCAACAAGTAGGGCTCGGGTGGCTGGGAAGATAACAGTGGTGAGGCCATGCACAGTTGTGGCAGCTCCATCTCAGCTTGCACCAACCATCCCTTGCCTGTCCGCCAGCAGCTTTGCATTCTCATAAACCTGCCTAGTATTTGCTTTCAAAAGAAGATGAGGTTTGTCTAACATTTGCCTCCCTAATCGGCTCTCCGAGCAGCCTGTTCTCTGCACCATTTGCTGCCCTGCCGTTATCTTGCTCAGCAGATTTGGATGGAGAATGAAAGTTGTTAAATGTAAATTCCACCTTTTACCTCCACTCACAAAAAAAGGCGGAAGTCATTTCACCCAAAAGATAAAAGCTGAGCAATGGCAGTGGTGGTGGCTCAGCCCATTCTCCTCCCGGCCACGCGGCTCCCTTATCTGCTTCCAACTTCCATTCTCTTAACGGTGAAAAACGAATTTTTAAAAATTCACATCAGAATTAGCGAGCAGATGAGAGCCAGCCGCGCTCTGCTTATTAAGATGGCAGCTGCCGATAAGCAGATGTCGCTGCTATCATCTCCATGTTGCCTCCTAGCAAGAGCAACCCGGACCCAGCCCTTGGGTTGCCCACTATGGTGCAGAGTCCTGTGTGCAGAAAGCTCTCCGGTTCTGCAGACGACATCCCCTGTCTCTCTGTTTCCAGAGAGAATGCAATCAGTGAAAGGGTCTACGTTATGTCCATGGGCAGTGTTCAGACCAGCCTGGCGTGACTCTGGTCTCCTCCTCAGACCGTGGGTCCCAGCTCTCCCCAAAACCCGCCACCGTGCTTCTAAAGACCCTGCTGCTACTCCCGACCCCTGCCAAACTCCCCAAGCATCCCATCCCACCGTGTTTTAGCAGAAATGACATCCCAGCCTGATGCTGTGGGCTCCTACAGCATGCAGCCCTTCTAGGATCTCCTTCCCCAGGGCAGCATATGGCCCTGTAAAAGCCCACGGGTTGTCCCTGCTAAAGCATAGGGGAGCTGGGGAAGAGCAGGAAACACAAAAAACCAACCTGGATGACAGAGTGCCCCACAGGGCTGTTTTCAGACAGCTCGGCCTCGTAGAGGGCCTTCTCAAACTTGGGTGCATTGTCATTCATGTCCACGATGGTGATGCGCAGCAGTGCACTGCTGGCCCGTGGCGGGTTGCCCCCATCCTGCACCTTGATGGTCAGGTCATAGGAGTCCCATTGCTCCCGGTCCAGGTTTCCCATGACAATCAGCTGTGGCTGCTTCTCCTCTTGGTCCTCAGCCACTTGTAGCCCAAAGAGTTCCTGTGCCTCAGGGCCAGCCAGCAGCTCGTAGGAGGCAACGCCGTTGGGCCCCGAGTCTCGGTCCATGGCTGGGGGGATGGAGAAGAGAGCCCCAATGTTGGTGTTCTCAGGGATGGTCAGGGTGAGGACGGGTGAGGCGAAGTTGGGGGTGTTGTCATTGATGTCGAGCACCTCGATCTGCCCCTCCAGCAGGCGCGGGCTGTTGTTCTGGATCAGGTCAGTGATGGACACTTCGAACTCCAGGTAGCAGGGCTCTCCAGGCATCAGGTGCTGGCACTCACGCAAACTCTCCCGGTTGATGGAGGTCTCTGTGGTGTAGATGTCTCCCGTCTTGCCATCCACACGCAGGTACGGGGCCCCCACTTCCAGCTTGTAGAGGTGCCCCACGTCAGGGAAGCCGTAGTCAGAGGCCAGGCTGCCGATGAGTGTGTTGGGGGGCTGCTCCTCCTGCACTTTGTAGACCACACGCGTCCCGCAAGCAAGGGCAGGCAGCTGGCAGAGGAGCCACAGGGCCAGGCAGGAGGCGAGGGTCCTCATTCTGTGCCTCAGGGGAGCTGGAAGGACACAAAATACCTTGGGTTAAGCTGTTAGAGCTCCGGCTGCACTCTGTGGGACTGCAAAGCCACGACTCAAAAGGAAGGGGGATTCCAGGACCACCTGGCCCAAACCTCCACCAGAAAGGGCCCAGGAAGCCTGACCCTGGAGTGTCGAGTTTCCTAAGAGCAACCCTGTCACCGAAACCCTGGCCCTTCCTGCAAGACACAGGAAGCCACTCCTGCCACCGTCCACCCTCTTCGTCACCGCACACTCTGTAATTACAACCAGCCAGGCATGCTAACGGGGCAGACTGCACGCAGCCTGCTGCCAGCAACCCGATGGGAGCCAGCCAGGCTGGGAAACAGCTTCTCACCACAGAGACACAGGAGCATTGTGCACCACGCACTGTGGGGACACTGCCTGCCATGCATTGCAGGGACATGGGGGAACCTGTCAGCACCACAAGGCTGTGGCAGCAAAGGGACAGGTAGGGTCCCTGTGTGGGATGTGGGGATGCAGCCCCTCAGCACTGCAGGAACATGGGGCATCACAGGGATGCAAGGATGTGGAGCACTGCTTGCACTGCAGGCATGCCACCCCTCCAGCACTGCAGGGATGCAGTGCACTGCCACAGCAGGCACAGCACAGCACTGCCCTCCCTGAGCTGCCAGCTCTGCGCTGCAAAAGCACCACCCACCCAACACTGCAGGGATGCAGGAGCCCTGCACAACACTTGCACTGCACTGCATGCCACCTGCCCCTGGTCCCAGTAGAAGAAGGGACAGTGCCCGGCATTGTGCCAGGGGAACACTTCCCACCCTGCACTGCAGCTCCCAGCACCCATCCTGCAGTCCCTGAGCCTCCCTACAGCTCTTCATGGCCCCTGAACACAACGGGCAGCACAGCATCTCCCCTTCGCTGCATGGTCTCTAGGCAACCCCGCACCCTGCACCAGCCAAAAAGCATTCCCTGCTCCTTCCCATTCTCTCCTGCTCTTGGCTGAGATGTGCCTGGGGGGTGCCCAGGGCTGTCCGTGTCCACCTCACCGACTGCAGAAATGGTGACAGGAGCGCTGCCCCCTGCATTGCAGACGCACACTGCACGCTACACTGCAGGCACCCAGCCACTGGAAACCTCCTCCCAGCGTGCAGACTGGAAACCTCCCTCCCAGCTCTGCAGGGACTGTCCCCTCTGCACTGAGCCACACACTTCCATCACCTTCTCCTGGCCACCAGCCTTTATGTCACCTGCTTCCCTGGCTGTGAGCAGACAGGGAGCCTTCACTCTATGTCCAAAAATCAGCATCCACAACATCTGCCATGGCACCCACAGCAGCAACTCGCTCCTTCCATTCCTATCACCTCCCTCCAAGCTCTGCACCCAGCCCGTGGAATGGGATGGGATGGATGGGATGGGATGGGATGGGATGGGATGGGATGGGATGGGATGGGATGGGATGGGATGGGATGGTGGTCCTCCAGCTACATGGCCAAATGCAAAATTCCTGCTCACTTGGAATCATGTGTCTCCTCAACAAGTGGAACATCCTGCGCTGGCTGCCCTGTTGCTTTCCAAGCCAGCTGCTCTCAGTCCCTCTATCCCCTTGCTTGCCCATAGACAAATGCCTGCCTCAAGCTCTCCCTCGGCAGGTGGAAACACAGCTCTGCTTCTGAAAATGAAGCTCTGGCCCCAAAACCCAGCTCCACTCTGCTCACTGGTCCCGCAAACACCATTTGTGCCAGAGGACAGATGCTCCCACCCCGCTGAGAGCATGCGCAGCTATCCACAGGCACATTCCGGGTGGAAGGGAGGAGGAAAGCCAGCCATCCCCACCCTGCACATGGCCAGGGATGGAGGCAGGAAGCTGAGCAGGAGCACGATGTGGCTCTGAATCGATGCAAGCAAGACCCAGCAGTGAGCGTGCAAGCACACAAACACGTGTGTGCACACGTGTACGTGTGTGCACAAGCACTGTAAAGGAGCACACCCATGCCTGGATGGAGCTGGCACTGCTGCACTGCTGCACTGGCACTGCTGCACTGCGCGCACACGCGTGTGCACGGAGCGCCGTGTGTGCGCGTGCCCCTGCCCCCATCGCCGTGCACTGGCATGGTATCACCCCACACAGGGGGCATTTGTGCCCTGTGGATGTGGGTCTGAGCCCACGCCGAGAGTCGTCACCCCATTGCTGTGGAAATGTCTGCGCACTGAGGGCGGGGAGGATGAGGAACGGGGATCCAGAGGATGCCTGGTGGGGAGGCACCCAGCACAGGCTGTTTGCCCACGCCTGTTTGCATGAGGCTGGCGCTGACGTATCCGCCCTGCCTAAACCCAGGTGTGAGGATCTCAGCTAAAGGTAAAAGTCCATGTGTGGGGCCGTGGCTCTGCCGTCACACAGCCCTGAGTCACCAGAACCAGGAGCCCGGGGCAGGAAGGGAGGCACCCCAGGGTGCCCTGCACCCATGTGGTGTTCTCTGGGATAAAGGACTGGAACCTGAAGCCTGTGTTTCCACACTGGAGGGAGCCCCCAGATTGGGGGGCTGGAAGCAGAGTGGGGGCCGTCACCCTAGAAAGAGGTGGCTGCAGGAGGAGGGTGGGAGCCAGGCACCTGGGTTCGCCAGGGGAACAAATCCTGCTTGGTGCTTGGGGTGGGGATGACACGCAGCAGACGTGAGAGCCCCGAGCAGGGTGTGAGAGAAGGAGGAAGCTCCACCATGGGGGAAAAGCACGTCTGTGCAGGAGGCAGAGGCTTCCCAGGGGCCGGTGCACAGCAGCGGTCTATTTTCCCATGGGATCTAAGGACCATCCCACACTTTTTTCTCTGGTGCCAGCCACCTTTTTCCGACCTGCTGGCAGAATACAGAGTGCTTAAAAATAAAAACCCCTCCCAAAACAAGTATTCCTCAGCACACACAATTCTCCCTGCGGGGAGAGTGCGAGAAGAGACCCGACCACATGAGAGAGGCGTTAGTCACGCTGCTTAATGCATGACTGGGAAGCTCTCGGAGGACAGTGGCATGCAAAATCCAACAGAATTCACTCATTCCCCCCCAAAAGACAAGCCCTAATGAGGGAGAGGCTATAAAGCACGGCTAATTCAAGCAACTGCTCCAACAAGCCTGCGATTCCCACAGCCTCTTGGCTTCGTTCCACAGTCAGTGGCTCCACATGGGGTTGGTTGCCGATGTCCCCGTCCCCCCCCCCCTCTCTTTCTGCTGCTGGGGGCTGATTGTACGGCTCCCAGCCCTGCTTAAGTCCCTCGAAATGCTGAACACCCAGCACCGATCCTCCCTCTTCCTCCCCCTCCGCCAAGCGCCGCTGCGATGTTCCAAGCCGGAGCGATATCCCACCCGATGCCAATCCCCGTGCATAGGGCTGACATTAAAGACGATACTGTCCCCAAAACGGCCACCGACGCTCCGACTCGCACCCAGCGCGCTGCTGGGTCGGACCCTCGCTGCTTTGCAGCACGTCCCGTGCCCAGCGCAGGGTTTCCTCATGCTCCGAGCACTGCGGCTGCTCGGTGTTCGCTCGGCCCGAGCACCCGCGATGGGGACGGGCGCCCGCTTGGAGAGCTTTTACCCCAGAATTATTAATCGGGAGACGAGCGGTGAAGAAAAAGAGAGCAAAACCCGGGGTCCTCCTCCCGCTCCACATCACTGCAACTCGGGCAGGAGCAAGGCAGCGACCTGTCAGAGCCTCCCTGGGGGCAGCTTCCATCCTCCTCTCCGGCCCCTAAAATCCCTTCCCGGGATGCTGAGGGCTCCCGTACTGCTCAACTATCCCTCTCGCCTGGCGAGTGGCAGCGATGTGGCGGGGCCGGAGCGGCGGCAGGGCCGCAGGGAGCTGCCGGCAGCGGGAGCAGATCTCGGGAAGGACCGGGAGCGGCCCGGGCTGAGGCTCCGCAGCACCGAACACTGGGAACCGACAGCTCTGCGCCGTGCACGCATTGCACACGCACACCTCACACGCACATCGCGCGGACACCGGTGAAAAACACAGCCGGGAGCGCTCAGCCCGGCACACACAAGCAGTGAGCAAGGCTTTGCCGAGCCGCACGCACCCGCACCCCGCTGACACGCTCACTCACACACGCACACACACGCACACGCGCAGCCCCCGCTCCTCCACTCGCGAACCGCTCCTGGCGCACCGCCCGGCGACGCGGGGACACAAGCGCTGCCGCCACAGCCGTGCCCCCCTCCCGCAGGCACCTGCCGACCGCCTCCCCGCTCCGCTGTGCCGCGCACGGACAAACGGACACGGCCCCGCCGCCCACCCGCAACTTCTCCCGCTCCCACGCACCGCTTTCCCACGGCTGCAAACACCCTCGGATCGTGGGGAGGGGGTGGGATGGGGGGGAGCAGACGCCCCTACAAGCCACTCACCAAAGCGCACCCAAAAGGGGAAAAACAAACCACCCCCGCGCCCCCCCACGGACACGCTCCCACGCTGGGGCACGGCTCCGAGTGGCACAACAAGTGGCAGCGCCCTCCCCGGCCGGCCCCAGCGATACCGGCAGCGAAACCAATCGCCCAGCCTTGAGCCCAAGGTGCCGCTGCCCGTGTCGTCGTCGTCGTCCCCCCACAACCACAGCCACGGCCCCGGTCGTGCGTGGAGCTCCCGGCCCCGCCGCGGTTCTTACTTGGATGCGGCCGGTGCTGCGCTCCGTGCCGGCTCCCGGAGCGCTGATCCAACGGCGTCTGCATCGCCTCCTCCCCGCCGGGACCGGGCTCCCCCCACCCCCCCGGCTCCTCCGGTTCGTTAT